AACAAGGAAAAAAAAAAAAAAATCTGAACTGTTCTAAATTATAGCAGGCAGAGAGTAAGAGAAAGAGCAGACAGTTTGTTAATAGCTGGGGGCCAGCTAACAAGACTGCTCACATTCCTGAGTGTATGTTGGAACTCTGAATTAAATTCCAAGAAGATAGTTCTATGATTAGCTCAATGAGAGAACAGCCAGTCGACCACCAAAATCCCAGCAGCCTTGCTTCTTGTTTACTCGTGAACTCTCCGGAATGTTGCCCACCACAAATCCAAAGGGGCATATACGTGAGAATTCCGCGCCTATCCCAGCCCTGCTTCACCTTCTCCCACTCCCTTTATCTACATAAATTCCTTCAAAACGACTTACATCTTTCTCCCCGACCCCTCCACCACCGCCATGATGGGGGTAGGGGGGACACATTGCCTTTTCCACCTGGCACCACGGCTGGTGGTCCGGCCCCAGGACCTGGTCTTTTTTTTTTCTTGCTAGCAATGGCCCAATAAACCCTTTCTTTTTAAAAGACTTTCCGCTGTGGATGTTAAACTTTTTGCTTGACATAAGGAAAATACAATAAAGAAAGATGTATTCAATGAAGAGACTCTGACTCTCAGATTTATGTGTAACCAAAATTTCGACTGATTTATTCACAATTCAATCAACTCATTATTCAAACGAAAGCCCTTTTGGTAAAAAGATGGTGAAACACCGGCTGATAAAGCCAAAGGGCTGACTAAAATTCCCACAGATGAGGACTTTGTGTCCACGCTAAGGAGTCAGGGCTAGAGTTTTAGAAACTATGTCACATCACGTTCTTCCTCATCCCTTCTCATCATAGCTCTCAATGAATCTCAATAATGAATTTACGTTGTCTACGGCCATGCCACCCTGACCAAATCCGATCATGTCTGATCTTGAAAGCCTATGCAGAGTCAGTCCTGGTTAGTACTTGGATGGGAGACCACCTAAGAAGACCAGGTGCTGTAGGTGTAAATAAATAAATAAACAAATAAATAATGAATTTACAGTGGTAATTCTGAGTGGCTCCATTACAGCTGTTTCACAATGGGCACTGCTCCTCCTCTAAATGGGCTGTGTGAGGCACATAAGCAGTTAAATTCCAATACGTGAATTTTCCATTTTTGCTTATTCATTCAACTAACTGAATACATACTATGGTACCAGGAACCAAGGTGAATGAGACTATGTCCTTAATAGGGAGAAAGTCAGATACAGAAATAACTGCAGTATGATGTGTAAGAATCCACGATGTTGACCATAATAAGCCCAATAAAGGCTGGGACTATTAAAAGCTGTCACCACCATCACTCATTCATCTATTCAATATAAATGAACAGGCAGGCTGTATGGGATACAGAGGAGGCACAAAGGAGGGACCTGGGATTCTGCTTCCCAGCAGGGGCTGTAAAGGTCTTGAGTAACTTAAATCACTCTGGCCTTTGGGTTTACCTTTCAACACGCTTTTCATTTGCCAGGTAAGCTGTCTACCCTATTCCCACTCTTGCCCATATCCTAGTTATTTTCTCATTTTTGATATCTCAATTTGAAAAAGACTTAAGGAAGCCTTTTCCTTCTTGATCGGATTCTGTTTTATTCTCAAAGCCCCAGGTGTCTTCCTTCATAATTTCATGCATTCGATAGCTTGTTTAATGTCCATCTCCCCAGCAGGCTTTAAGTTCCATCCCAGTGGGCATCATGACTCTTTTTTGCTCATCACTATAGGTATATCTTCAGTATCTGGTGCAGGGGTTGCTAACAAAGTATTTCATGATGAGGTATTTATCCTTTCATACACTGAATGAACTTAAAGCACACCAGGAACTGCAGACTGTCTGAAAAAGTAATAGCTGAACATTATGGGGCACGGAAAGTGCTTCCCAGTTGGGCGTGGACCAGTTATTTAGCTAATTTTAAGAATTTGGGGAATCCCATTCTTCTTGACCACCCTCCTCCACCTTCCGCCAGTCCCTGGGAGATTAAAACCAGAGGAGTAAATCTTCCCAAGGTCTTGGTCCTCAACAAGACCACTCGAAGCTGTTCTACTCCCAACGCTCCGGCTGCCGTGTCGCCAGGCGGCTGCCTCGGCCTCGGCCTCGGCCTCGGCCTCGGCCCCGGCCTCGGCCCCGGCCCCGGCCCCCGCCCCGGCTCGGGCTCCAGCACAGGGTCCGGTTCCAGAGGCCTCGTGAGGCCTGGCCCAAGGACCCGCTGTGGCCCCTGTGCTTTCATACCCCGGGCCCAGTCGCTCTTGCAGAGCTGCAGAGCTTTCCGAGATTTTCCTGCTTCTCCCGAACGTCGCCATCCCTCACTCCCCGCTCAGAGCCCACCGCCCGTAGACCGTAGTTACCTGTTCCCGCAGACTCGCAAATGCACCCGCCCGAAGCCAAGACCGGTCTTGACCGGCACCGCCCGGTCCAATCAGAGCGCGCCGATGGAAAGTGCCCCGCCGCGCCTTACCTCTACGAGACATTATTGGTCAACAAACATGCCAATAAACCCGAGCTTCTTAGTCGGTTTCTGAAGGCAGCTC